AGGCGTTTCGTCCGCCTTGTTGTTTGTTTGTCTGTTTTACCCGTTGAATTTGTTTTTATTTATTTGTTTTTTTTTGAAGTTGCAGATTTGTGCACTTCTGTGGAAATTTGTAAGCTGTGTGTCCCTTGAGGCGGACTGCCCTTCCGCCCCTGTTGCCGCCGCGCTCGCACTCCCTCCCTGTGTCCGTGTGTGTCACTCTCACCCTCCTTTTTTTCTTTCTCTCTGCCCCTTGCTAGACTGTGTGTGTGTGCTGCGGTGACAGGAGTGGGGATGGCTGGCCGTGTGCTGTTGGTGTGTGCCCTCTGCGTGTTGTGCTGCGCCGGCGGCGGTGCCGGTGCGTGGGGCGGCGGCTACTGCACGGATAGTGACTGGAGGGGCTTGAGGGCCGTCGCGAAGGACATGACGGAGGCGGAGATTGAGGGAAAGTACTGCAGCCGCAAGCCAGAGTTTGCGCAGGGGCTGCGGGTGATTCCGCAGGCTGAGGGGGAGGAAAAGAGTCGTTCAGATGAAGCGAATACCTCTCAAGACGCATCAGGTGAAGATTCAGAGAAACAGCAACCATCGGCAGGCTCACAAGAATTGCGTGCACCTAATGGCAGTGAAGGAAGTTCCGATCAAAGGGCGAAAGACCAGGTAGCAGGCACCGATGAATCGCCATCGGAAACCCCAACAGAAGTGTCAGGAGGACCGCACGACACAGAGTCATCAAAGGCACCCCAAGGAGGAGATTCAGAGACAGACCGGCAAAACGCTGCTTTACCGTCGCAGCCACAGTCACAAGAACAGCCATCTGAACAGGCGGTGGGCATTGCCACAGATGTGCGCAGCAATGGAGCCGCAGGCTCATCGCATATCGCCAGTGATACATCAGTTGGAAGTGCGGCACAAACACCGCGAGCCCCTCTTCCTGCAGATGGCAGTGGTGCTGCTGCCGGTGCGCCGCCGAGCAGTGACAGCGCAGCACCATCAGCCGCAGCAGCAGGGCCCCCCGCCAAGGATGCAAGTAACACCGCGAGTACGAGTGAAACTGGCAGCAGCCCCGCGGTGCAGTCAAGGCCGTCGAGCCCCATGACGACAAACGAAGCTGGTCAGGCGGAACAGAAGCACACCGAAGTGCCCACCTCCCACGAACAACCGGAAGCGAGTGGTGGGAAGGAAGAACAAGCCGCCAAACCCGCAGCGGGGGCGGCTGCCCAAGCGGTCAACAGCACTACAAAAATGATGGTGGCGCCAGCCAACAGCGACGGCAGCACTGCGGCCTCGCACTGCATCTCCCCCCTTGCGCTGCTTCCTCTTCTTGCGTGTGCGGCGGCGGTTGCAATGTTGGCCGCGTGAGAGAGAGAGAGAGAGAGAAAGCCGTGCGCAGCTCGTCCTTTTTGTTTTGTTTTGTGTATCTTTCTTTTTGTGTGTGTCCTCCTGCGCGGACTGTCGCCCTCGCCTCAACCCACGAGGCACACACAAGTAATGTGCTCATATATACACTTCCACTCATGCAGGCCCGTTGGTCTTATTTTGCTTTCGACGGCCGCTACCGTTCTGCTTCGCTGCATGGGTAGAGCACCGTAACTGTTTTAATCATTTCAATTGTGTTAGTTTTCATTGCTTTCGGTGGGCGGTCTCTTTCGCCCTCCTCCTTCCTGGATTGGGCTGTACGGGAAACGAGGGAGTGTGTGCGTGCTGGTTGCCCCCACTGCTCGGTGGACGTGCCCACGCTTCGGCTTCACTGTACGGGGT